TTTTGCGGTTGGAATGCTAGGGCGTTACCAACACAATCCGGGGTTGGACCATTGGAGAGCTGTAAAGAAGGTTCTAAGGTATCTCAAAGGAACCAAAGGTTACAAGCTTGGGTTTAAGCAGACGGACAATTTAGATCTTGTCGGTTATTCAGACGCGGACTTTGCTGGCTGTGTTGATTCTCGAAAATCAACTTCAGGGTGCGTCTTCATTATGGCCGGTGGGGCTATCTCATGGAGAAGTGTTAAACAGTCCTTAATAGCTACTTCTACCATGGAAGCCGAGTTCGTTTCCTGTTTCGAGGCTACTTCACAGGGTGTTTGGCTAAAGAATTTTATCTCTGGGCTTAGAATTATGGATTCTATATCTAAGCCATTGAAAGTCTACTGTGACAACTCAGCTGCAGTCTTCCTAGCTAAGAACGACAAAAGTGGAAGTCGAACTAAGCACATCGACATCAAGTTCTTAGCAATTAGGGAGCGTGTCAAAAATAAAGTTGTATTCATTGAACACATTCATACTGAGTTGATGTTAGCAGATCCCTTGACTAAAGGCATGCCACCATTTAAGTTCAAGGATCTGATTCAGAAAATGGGACTTTCGCCCAATTTGTAATTTGTATATATACATTCAGTTTTAATAAAATTCTTTAGCATTCAGACATTTTCTCAATTAAGTGTGTACACCTTCATTTACTTTATATTGATGAGAAAATGTACTTCAGGGACTTGGAATAAACATAGGGTTTATTTCGTTGGGTTTTGTTTCCTAATTAAGTGCTCAATGGCAGTTTGCATTTGATCATAATGGATACTACTCGTGCTAATGAGAACATATCATTATGGTTGGTGTTTTTCTGTTATTGAGTGGTAGTGCTTGCACCAAGTGGGAGAATGTAACGTTTATCCGTTACTATTATTATAACATTAGGATAAGTTATGATAATATTCAGTATTTGATATGTGGTGCAACACTAATAACCTAATAACTAGACTACCATTATGATTAGGAGTCTGGTTAGGGTTTAGGAGACCTAAAGACAATCAACCACAATGATGGCCAGTGGTTATATAAGGTCACTAGTCCTCTCACTGCTCACATTACATACCTCATACACCATCTAGAGAGAGCTGAGTAAAGTGAGAGACAAAGCACTTATCATCTCTGCAGCAGTCCGGATCGCTCAACCGTAAGAAGAACTATGGCTGGAGGTTAGTACGATCCTATTATCACATATAAGATTATGCATGTGATATTTTAGTCTAACATTTCAAGCATTACGTTCACCCACTAAAACCACAATATTCAAACAAATTAATGAAATGGGTGGATGGATTTGAAATGAGATGAGCAAATCGGTAATAAGAAACGCATACCGCGTCATCATCATCACTCCAAACATCGTCTTCTTCATCCATCTCGTAATGCTCGCTATCCCGTTTTGGGTTCTTCGCCGTCGGATCGGAGACACCAGACGTGTTAGCGGCCATGGCTATTCCTCAAATCCAAACAAATAATCAACCCCTTTACTGAATTGAATTGCAGCCCTTAGGTTTTACTTATAGGCGGAGTGTTTCCGGGCAGTCCAATTTTTACTTAATTTTTATGATGTTTGTTTTGATTTCATCTAACAAAAGAGTGAATTATTATTATTTTTATTATTCTCTTTCTCACACTTCACCATAAATTTACTGAATTGGAGTCCACATATCATTTTTTTTCTTAATGTATTTATTTATAATATTTCTTTAAATCTATGACTCAAGCATCCAGGGATTAATAGCCACTAGGTTTTAGTGATATGAGGAGTCTTTGGATCAAGGTACATGTTGCAACATACACCCAATATATACCAAATTTAGTTATGAGTATGTATAACTGGATAAAAAATCAGTTACGGACAAAAATTAAGTTAATTATTTTTTAATTAAAATATTTCAGTTTAATTAATGATTAATTTTTTTTTAATTTAAATTAAGAGTTAATTCAATTTGAAAGTGACAATTAATTGGATTGCGTGTGTTTTTTAATTTGTTGTCATTCATAAACAGGGGCGGAGCTACGATTAACCAACGCGGGGGTCAATCACGATTTAAGAGAGAATAATGCAATATAATAATATTCATTTAACATGTTTCAAAATACATCATTATATTACAAATTTATTCAAATTTAGATTATCTCTCTTGCATGTCACGAATTAAAATCATCTATAATTGAATCTATATTAAATTGTTCCAACAAGATTCAGCCGCCACTGCCCGTAGCTAGTAGCCCGAGTTCAATGCGGTTGCCGTCGTCAATTGAGGAAACGAAAGCGAGGATTTAGGCATTTAGCTACCATTTAACTACAATATCTAGATTTTTTTATTGTAGTGAAGATTGATGAATTTATTTCCAATAAAGAATAATTCATAAAAAAAATTCAAAGATTTAAATAATAAAAAGGAAATGGAAGATTACCTATACACTTGCTACTTAAAAATGGAAGAGAAATGCCTTGTGTGTATTACTGTGATTTGCGTATGCGGTATTTGGTTTGGTTTGGAATTGGGTTGATTTGAGCGAAAACTTACACAAGAAGCTTTGTTTGAGGAGGAAAAATGTTTTGGTGACTAGTGAGGGTGCCACAATTGACTTTCACATTAATAATAATTAGGGGTGTCAATGCGGGCCGGCCCGCCTCATTAGGCCCGGCCCACCGCGGGATTTTTATTTGGCGGGCTTTGGTGGGCCGGCCCGCGAAGCCCGCGGACTCGAAACTATACAGCCCAAGCCCGCCCCATGCGGGCTTGCGGGTCTCGCGGGCTGGCCCGCGGGCCATCACTTAAATTTAAAAAAAAAAACATTAAATAGTATATAAACATGTTAAAACCGCTTGAAATATGACACCAGAAACTTCCATAAAATTAATAAACCTCGCCCAAATATCCCGGATCAATACAGCGCTTTCAGCATAACTGGAGAAGGGTGATCAAAGCTAGGGTTCAACAGCACACTCTATTTATCTCTCGGCTTCAGATTTTCCCTCTACAATTGCCGTCTGTGTATAATACATATATAAATATGTATGTTTGCTGGACTTGGATGCGATTTAGTAATTCATAAATATGTATGAATTGATGATTTAGTTTTATTAATTGTTTGATAGAGTTGGAGGCGGATGGAGACGGTAGAACCAAAGAACTACGTACTCTAGGAATTATTGAATTAAGAATTGGCGAAGGATTATTGAATTATTGGATTTCTCCCCTTCTGCGTACTCTTAGATAGTCAGATCTACACACTGCCTAAGAATTAAGATATTATATATATGATTTTTTTTAAAAAAAGATATTATATATATTATTTATTTATTTATTTTTTAAATATGGTCGGGCCCGCGGGTCAGCCCGCAACCCGCATGGGTTTACCCGCGCGGGCTTTGGCCCTCCGCGGGCCATGCCCGTTAGGCCCGCATTTTCGCGAGCCTAATTTCTTGAGGCCCTAACCCGCCCCATCGCGGGGCGGGTGCGATCTAACCCGCGGGCTTCGGCCCACTTTGACACCCCTAATAATAATAATAATAATAAAATTGGAGGGGGAGGGGGGGGGGGGGGTGCCAAGGCCCCTTACTGCCTAATACTAATTATAAAAATTAAAAAAAAGGCTAAAGTGTCATCCCGCACCATGAACCATAAACGATTTTTCATGCCGCACCCTGACCTTTTAAAAGTGTTGATTCGGTATACAAACTAAAAAATTTTTTCCGCCTAACCTTTTTTACAGGTTACCCGGTAAACCTGATGACATGGAGCAGGTAATATGTGATGTGACCTTATTAATTTTAATTAAAAATGAGAAATGAAATACACGTAAGCATTTTTATTTAAAAAAATAAAAAACAAACAAACAAAAAACAAACTTTTGCTCTCTTTCTCTCTCCCTGTTTGGACGAAGAAGGAACAACAAATGGCGCCACCACCGTGAGCTCCGGTGTTAGCAGTGGACGGCGGTGGTGTGGTGTGGCGAGCGTCCTCGTCGGCAAAGAAGGCTGGTCGGAGATCAGTTCGCACAACAGAGATTGTCATTGATAAGCAGAAGGGAGCCGAGTTGCCATCACCGTTGTCCGTCGTCGACGAAGAGTGACTGGTTTTAGGCGAAGAAAATAATCGCCATAGAGCTCGAGCTTGCCAGAAATCTTTATTCTGGTGTTCGTATTTTACCAAAATCATTTAGATTACTATTTCCTTTTATTTACGATTAAAAAATAGTTTTATATTACAAAAAAAAAATATCGGATTTCTTGGAAAGTTTCGTAAGGCTGTCCGGTGACCTTCTTGAACCATTTCGGTAGGTTTGGTTTTTGTAATTTTCAGTTTCAGTTTGCATTGGCTTTCATGATGCAATTCACAGAGACCTTGCCGGAGCCGTCCCACCAAATCTCAGCATTCTCTAGCCTGGTGACGAACAAGAATCAGGTTCATGGAGCAGTTGCTAGTCCACTATGTGAACGCGATCAAGAGCAACGACGCCACTCTGTCTCAGCAGATCGTGTGGTTCCTCAACTCCCACGAAACATTATCTTGAGATGTATAGAAGGAGTGTAGTACTATGCGAAGGTGGCGTTTTGGATTGAAGTGGTATCCATGTTTCAGCATTTGTAAGTAAATAAACTCGACTTCATCATATCCCACTTTAGCTGAGCAGAAAATCCATCCAACATCAAGTTAAATGAATGGATATCTTTACAATCTGGTTTATTTCTAATACGGTTTCCATTTTCTAATAAGCCTAGAAACAATTGTTTTGCTTCTTCAATTGAAAATCAAGAGGGTCAACTTTAGCTAGAATCTAGACAATGCAATGACAGTCATCACAATGCGATAATTATATATTTATTTTTAATGAAAATATTCAAATATTTAAAACCACATGCCATTCATTTGCAACCAACTGAAGTCCAAAGAATAATCACCAGAGAGCATTACCTCCATTACTAGCCCATATGTTACACTAGAAGGCTGCTTCAACTGTTGCAGTACCCAAAGGGCACCTTCCCAATTTTTACAGCTAACACAAGCATTTAGGACCTATACATAATATAATAAGCAGAATGTCACAATTTTCTATTTTTATAATCTTTAAGGCTAAATGGGATTTTGTGGGAGACAGATAAGTTGGTATCCAGTACAGTATCATAACTATTAATTTGAAGCACATATTTACCATAATCCTATGGGGTTGAAAATAAGTTAGCATTTTCCTACTGTTTTTTTATTTTATTTTATTTTTGTATGCAAGCAAAGGTAGTGACTATGAAATGGCAAAACATTGAAAATTTCACAAGACTTTATATTTAAAAACCTGAGGTTAAAGGTCAATTAGATTAATAAAGGTGCTCCAGAATGATTTAAAATGCCAAACAATCTTGAATTACTTACAGCATTATAGATGATATTATCTGGCTCTAGACGTGGATCTCACTTCTCAAGAATCCCAGTTTTTAACTTCTTTTTGGGTGGAGATCGCATGCTTTCAATCACATAAAATAGTTCCTCCATATGTCCTGCTTGTCCAAGAGTTACAGCAATAGAGTGATAAGACACAAGATCTGGATTACTGGATATGAGGACATATCTTCCTGCAGGAAAGATGTTTAAGAGGGAATGATGTGAGTTGCTTAAGATTATTTATTTAGTACAGAGTTAACATTTTATATCAACACTGTACATATCAAAACTATGGACAGTTCATAATTGATTGATTGACCATCCTTGTACACATTACCCGCATTTCACGAAACAAATTGAGTGCCTCAACTGGCCTCTTTGCTTTCCCAAGTGCATCAAGAGCAGCGTTATAAATATATCTTAAGAATTTAAAAATAAAAAATATCAGAGGTTTCTTACAGTGCACTAAACTGCACACTTTATAAGAAGAGAAGCTGGCATCAGAAAAATAATCTTTGCAATATTTTGGTATAATTTAAAGTAGCACAAGCTATTTAAGTCAATGAACATTAGACAGAAAATAAGATTAAAGTTAAATGGTTTTAAAAAGTTAATGTTTCCATGCATAATTTCTCTGGACTACATTTCACTCTTCAAAGAACAGACATCCTTGCCTCAGAAAGAGATGTTCCAAAAATGCACATCACGTGGTAATATTTCATGCATATGTGAAAATACTTGAAGAAAGTCACCAAAATTACCAGGTAAACACCAAGTGAAAAAAATTAAACCTGAATTCACAATTTTAACAACTCAAGCATATCAACTGTACGTTTGTGATGAAAATTTGTAGGGAGATGAAAGATCAAATATACCTTATCCTGTATGATATGAAGCGTTCACTGACTGAATCCACTCAATAACTTGTAGTACTCGGCTCCAATTTTCCAATTTACCCAATATTTGAATAATCCTTGACATAGAATGATCTGAAAATCTGATTTTAGCACTTGGCATCATTTCGGAAAACTTCCACTCAGGCATGTCAATATCTGCACCATGCCACCATTCAGACTGAAAAAGAAAAAATCATTACCACCAATCAGTATGAAGTTTTCTATGAGCACCTTGATCATTAACATATTTTGAGTAACATGCACCAAGAACTACAGTATCAGTCATTATTGAGTTTCCTAAACCCAGTAATATTTCAACAAGATACTTAAGGCTTTTAAGCAAGTTTTTTTACCTTTTGCTTAATTCAAATAATTCAAGAAACAAAGTTTAATAAATCCAAAAGTCCAGATTTATCTTTTAGCAAAATCCATAAAAGAAATATTTTTATAAATACAGTAATTTGGGATTAAGCAACATGTCCAGGAAGTAATTTTATGGATAGGGGGAATGCCATGAATATAATGCAAGTTACTCAGGATGGATAAAGAATGTCAGAACTCATTTTTACTTTGAGAGATTAACCACTTAAAAAGAAAGTCTCAGACTTTGCTGAAAATATTGATACTGGGACAGAATTACTTAGTCATAACTAAGATTTATATGCCAAAAGATCAAAACATTCTCACCATTAGCACTTCTGGTGATGTCAAACTTACTCAGCTAACATATTACTAGAAGCAATATAATAATTATGCTAAGCAAGAAATTTGTAATGTGCATATTGAGAAGGGTAAACACAACGTACTCACTTTCTTGCAAGCATCTGAATTCTCTCTTCCATCTCGGCTTTTGACATAAGAAGGAACTCTCGGAGAGACTGGGATAGGGAATCATAATCAAACTCAAATACATACAGTCCTAATATTCCCCGTTAAGCACAAGGTACACTGGTGACTTGTAGCTTGTCCCTAAGAAACAAGAACCGAGGACCGGGTAGAGCCTTTGTAATTAAAGATATCTGCCAACTGATCATTGGTTGAAATAAAGTCAACCTGCATATCACCATTCGCAACTCTGTCTCTAACAAAATGGTAGTCAATTTCTATATGTTTCGTTCTAGCATGAAAAATAGGGTTTGCACACATATATGTAGCTCCAAGATTATCACACCAAAGCTTGGGAGCGAGCATATCGGTTAAGCCAATTTCTCATAGAAGCGAGAGAGTCCAGATTACCTTGGCACAGACATCTGCTAAAGCTTTATACTCGGTTTCAGTAGATGATCTAGCAACAGACCGTTCTTCTTGCATACCCACGATATAAGATTAGAACCAAGAAAAACAGGATACCCACTGATTGATTTACGATCTTCAGGACAACCAACCTAATCAGAATCTGAGAAAGCATGTAATTCTCTAGATACTGATCGTCGAATTCGCAAACCAGAAGTGATAGTTCCCTTTACATACCTTAGAAAACGCTTCAATTGCTCCCAATGCGAGATTGTAGGCGCATGCATGTGCTGACACAACTGATTTATTGCAAAGGACAAGTCTGGGTGGGTAACTATAAGATATTGTAAAGCACCTGCCAGACTTTTATAGTGTGTGGCGTCGTCATATAAATCAGCATTGGAGATAGTGGGTTTAGAAGCAAACATAGGAGTGGCTAGAGGTTTACAGTCTGTCATGCCAGCACGTTTTAAGATATCTATCATGTATCTTTGTTGAGAGAGAAAAATTCCATCCTTACACTTATTGTTTCAATCCCTAGGAAGAAACCAGGTTCTCCAAGATCCCTAATCTTGAATGCAAATGATAGAGCAGTTAGAAGGGAGCTGATAAGACCTTGATATATCATTGCCCATTACAAGAATGTCATCAGCATAAACAAGAACATAATGAAATCTGAACCCTGTGAGTAGTAAAACAAAGATACATATGTTTTTGAGGCTTTAAAACTTGCTGCCATCAAGAAGGTATGCAAGCGATTAAACCAAGCTCTGGGGCTTGTTTTAATCCATATAGGGAACGTTTCAACAGACAAAGATGATTGGGAAATTGTTTATCAATGTATCCCGGTGGTTGCTTCATATAGACAGTCTCAAGACCCATTCAAGAAAGCATTATGGACATCAAGCTGTTTCATATCCCAACCAGAGGATATAGCCAAAGATAGAAGTAATTACCTGATGGTATTCGGTTTGAGCACTAGGCTGAAGGTGTCCAAAAAATCTTGACCGGCGGGTACCTAATTAAATCCTTTTGCTACCAATCTTGCTTTGTATCGATCGATTGTCCCATCAACTTTCCTTTTGGTGCGAAAAACTCATTTACACCCAATAATATTCATATTAAACTGAGATGGGACAAGATACCATGTTTCATTCTGAAGGAGCGCATTAAATTATCCATAGCCTTGCGCCATTCATCATGTTTAACAGCCTGTGTATAACAAGTAGGTTCAATGGGGCAAACCTGAGCTAATAGAACCGTGCGGTGCGACGACCGACCTCTCGGCCGGCCACGTCGTCGCTGAGCAGTAGGTTTGGTGTCCGCCGAGGGCCCATGTGACTACCTAAAATTTAATATTATAAATTCGGTTTTAAGAAATTCCAAAATAGCCATTTTTCCCTCTATAAAAATTTTTGCATTAAAATCGTTGTTTGAATAAATTATTTTGAGCCACTTTTAAATAAATTCAACACCGGGACTTATTTTAAATCTAAAATCTTAAATTTTTGGGTACATCGTGTACCAAGTTTTTGATCCAAAAGTCAATCTGAGTGAAACCGGGAGAAATCTGAGGAACCTAAACTAAGTGGTTGTCTAGAAAGTATATTTGGAAAAATGCATTTTGACCCCAAAACTATTTTAAACTATGATTCTACACCTTGACCCATGAAGCTTGGTGAACCACTAGACTCCACTCTCTCATGTCTGATATTTTTGAAGCCAAGCCAAATTACCACTTTGCCCTCCACCAATCATTGTTGATTCTCTTAGGGTTTAGAGCCCTATAAAATGAAATGCTTTCAGCCATTGCCTCCTGATTCCCAACTTTGTGTTCCCTACCAAGAAGCTCTGCAAGAAACCAAAGAAAAACACAGTAAGTTTTAAGCCTATCTCAACCATTCATCCATTCTTCTCCCAGCTTCTTTCATTTCTAGCTTCCATTTTTGAAAACTTAGCTCTTAAGGCTTGTTGTATGGTTTTTTTGAGGAATATAGGTGGTGAAGGGGGTTGTAGCTGACTTGGGAAGAAGGAGAAATCCCAACAAGAAGAGGAAACAACAAAGGTATAACTCATGGACTCCCACCTCTTTTATAGACTTTGTGAAGTCAAGTTAGATGTTGAAATGTGTAGAAATGCTAGATTATTGATGTGGTTGAGCTATTAAGTGATCTATTTTTGATCTATGATGTGTTGTTGAGGATTTGGGAGTATTTTGGATTGCTAGAATTTGCATTTCAAATGAAGAAGAACCCCAGATGGAGTCACAGAGCTAGCCAACGGCCCTAGGCAGGGACCGTTGGCAATCCCCGTGGAGGAGTAGCCCTAGGGCACGGCTCACAGCTAGAGCTGTGGCCCTAGGCTGCCGCTTGGCGGATCCAGGTGGCGAGGCTCCTCAAGCCCTGTCAGGCCAAAGATGTGTAGTGGCCGGGCCCTTTGTGGCTCAGCTACATGTCGTTCGGATCAGGACTCGCGGACCCTTGAGGCTCGGACACCTGGGACCGTTACGACGAACGAGTAAAACTTGATTTCATTGAATTTAGAGTAGAAATGAGTAATTTATAGTAGAAATTGTGATGATTCATGCTATAGAAGTAGTATGTGAACATTTGCAGAGAATGAAAATGTGAAGTATTTGGTCTTGGCTATTTGAATGAGAAGCATGATAATTATTTGATTGTTGGATTAAGAAGTATGATCATTATGTGCCAAAGTTTACTTGATTAACATGTTTTAATAGTCATTGTGAGTTATTGAGAATTTTGCCAAGAATATGAAATGTTTGGTTGTACAGAGCATGAACCTAATTGCCCAGTAAAGTGAAGTATTAAGATATGTAGTCTACTTTGAGTTTAAAGAGCATGATCAATATTTGCTAAGTGTTTGCTAAGAAGTTTTGCTAAGTATTAAAGTGATGAGCATGAAGTAGCATAATATTTGTTTGACTTATAGTCAAAGAAAATTTGAGATATTTGTTATAGTAAAGAGCATGTTTAGCATATCATGAACTAAAGTGCATAAGTGGCTTAAAGTAAGCCTAAGTATTCTTTCAAAAACCTATATCTATTTTGGAAAATCATTATCTAGTTGCATGATATTTGATTTCCAAGTTGTCTATATCTATGTGCATAAGTTTGCATAAGTGAATTTGTTGCATGAGTATGAAATGCATGAGTTATATCTATATGTATATAGTGTGAGTAATCCGAGGTTTTGGAGGGCCCGTTAGGACTATGTCCTTTTGGAAGAAAAGAAAAAGTAAAGAAAGAAACGGAAATGCTAGCAGTCGTCCTTTGGTGTTCTTTGAGCGTCGTCATCTCCTTTTCCGGTCTGTCCTAGTCGCACAAGTGGTTGGTGTTCATGGCGGGTTCTTCTAGCAGGAATGTTAAGCATCGGATGGGTAGTTCTTCCGTGTCTACTCGAGGTATTTTGACTTTCTTGTCTATTTTGTGTGGGTCTATGATTTTCCGAATGGGGTTTTGGTCCGGATGGGGTTTTCCAATTGGGGTTTTGGTCCGGATGGGGTGGGGGCATGTAGGGGCTGGATTGTGGTTGTGGTGCTGCGGCGTGGCGGTGTTCACATAAAAAGGGAGAAGATTCGTGCTTCTCCCAAACACTTGGCTTTACCGATGAGGCGGTTTAGTGCTTGTCAGAAGAGAGCTGTGGTGGAATTGGGTTTAGGTGAGTTGTTGAATCTTCAAATCCACGACATCCCGAAGCGGTTGGCCAGATGGTTGCTTACTAACTTCGACCCCGTGTACATTAGTCCATAAG